GATTAGTTTAGGAGTCGAAATTTTTATGAAAAAGCAAACAAATATCTCTGGCTTATTTATTATTTTGTTTGAGCAGAATATTTCTCATCTGTCTTGCTTAATTAACTAGTCAAGTCAGTACTTTGTTATTTTAGCAAAGATGAATAAATCTAGGAATTAATGGCTATGCACAGGGAATATTCTTAGATATCATGACCTTGATTTTAATGTGTCTCTAGAAATGCTGGATATTAAATGAGCTGGAACTTGTTTATTTTTCATCATTTGAAGAAATATTTATTCTTACCTGATATACTTGCCCCCAAAGCTCTTGAGATTTTTTGTTCTACTTTCCTAGCAAATGACAACTTTGAAGTGTCTATTTCATCTGAAAAGTAGTGCATACATTTCAAATGTTTAAATACGACAGGAATAAACATCATTATGATTCCAGTTTGAGGTACAATTTAAATGTTAAAATGGTTATTTTAATCATTTTTTTATGAGGCCACTTTAACCAGTCATCAACTCCCCCATTATCCTCTAATTCCTGCGTTCAGACAGCAGAATTTTCCATTTTTGCAAAGCGTTCTCTTGCCCCATGGCATTTCTGATAATTCATCACCCAGAACTAATTACTTAAAAATCCTTTATACATTTTCCATTTGCTAAGTTCCACCTTAAAGTTTGCATTACCAGAGAATTATTTTTGCTTCTCTTCCCCTCTCTGCACAAAGCCTTCCTGGCCCCTCTCCCCTCCATTTATTCCTGAGATCTTTTAATTCCTCTTCTCCTTTTAATGTTGAGAGGTTAAGTTTAGCCCCCGTTTTTCTCCACAGACATGCATGTCCCAACTCATGCCAAAGCTCAGCAAAGCAAAAAGGGTTTCTAATGAACAGGACTCTCCTGAATTTTATGGCATTTTATTAAGCATGAATTTTGATTCCTCTCCCGAAACACAAGTATTTCTTCCTAAAATATAACATACTCCCCTGAAAGGGAGTTCAGTGAATTAAGATTTCTCTGTCCTCTTCCACCACTATAATAGAGCCCAGTAATGCTTAAAATGTGGTTCCTGGCCTAGTGTCAGCGTCACCTGTGACCATGATAAAAATTCAGATTCTTGGGCCCTAATCCAAACCTACTGCATCAGAAATTCTAGGAGTTTCCCCATTGGTTCTGATGCCTGCAAAAGTTAACAAGCAATGAAAATAATCTGCAGCCACACAGAAAAATCGTAACATGTATGGACTCAAAATATACTTCTATGTGACTGGGTCGTATTAAGAATGGCACCACAGGGTTGGGAACGGAGGTGGAGAGGTGGGGAGGCACCGGTACATTCAAAGTTGAGTTCTGGTCACGCTGCCCTGAACTTGCCTCATCCCCTGCTTCACTCTTTAATAGCCCTCTTGAGCCTGTTTTGTCCTACTCCACTTTCTTCTTCCTCCATCACACAGTTCACTTTAACTCATTGCTGGATGCCTACATACCTGACCTGGATTCAAATCTACCTGAAACTTTTTCTGTGCTTTCCACAGGCAGGGCTCACCCTACTCCCAGGTGAGACTGACCAACTGATCCAGTTCTCTATGTATCATTTTCCTAGTTTCCCAGTTCTATAGCCTTAAACCACCTGGTAACAATTTTTATGGTGTTTCACTGAATGCCTGAGGTCATCAGCAATTCTCTCCACCCTGTCTGGATTGGAACGCCAACATCTTCTGGCACTGAATAACCTGCTGCATCTCGGAGCTATTTCTAGCCCTACAGCAGCCAGTCTTTGTTAGACCTTGCTGAGTTTTTTGCTCTGTGCATGCACAGGCCAGCCTTTGGCCAAATGCCTGAAGGTAAACCCCTGCCCCCCCGCACCAGACCTCTTTTGCCTTCCTCTGCTCAGCAGCCTTTCCTCGTGTACTCTGCTCCACAGTCACCTCGGAAGCTTCAAACTTTGATCTGTACTGCCTCAGCTTAGCAACGCTGTTCTCTTCTTAGGCTCTATCTCCACACTGTCCTGTCAGAGTTCCCCCAGGGAGAAAGGCAACACAAACATGAGGCTTAAACTGTATGTCTCACTTCTCTTGAGGATTCATCATCCTTTGCTGTCTGTCGTCAAACGCCCAGTATGGGAACATAGTCAAGTGCCAGTCAAGCCATCAAGGCTGAAAGAGAAGTTCTGAGTCTTGTTTTGAATTTTATTTTTTTTTCAAGCTGTAATCTTTCATGTCTGTCTTTCATTTTGACTATATTTAGCAATCCATAACTTTCTAATTTGCTAATTGTAAACGTTTTGGAATTTTTTTGTAGACTAGACTCCCTAAGAAAAAGAGCCTGAGCTAGAAACTTGGTGAAAGTGATGTTCGGAGGGGAGGGCTCTCAGGAGAAGGGGCGAGAGGGAAGCAGGATGCGGAAGGAGAGCAAGTCAGGAAAGGTGTGGTTTTGCCCGGAGCACTGCCTTTCGCCTGACCCCACAGGAAGCTCTGGAACACGAACTAAAGCAGAGTCATTCTCCACCGTGAGGCAAGCGGGCCAGTTTTATGTACCCTCATTTCAATCAGTTGTTGACTGATGGCTGTCCTGGGCAGTGCTGGTGGGTGCTTTTGGGGTGGGAATGTATAACTTCCCAGATAGGTTTGCTCCTATTTAGCTGAGGGAAATCCTCTGATACAGGGGTTAACTTTGGGCCTTTGGCAGTGAACATTCGTCCTGCTGGTGAAGAGAACGTGAGCAGACAAAGAAAAAAAGAAAGAAGAGGAGAGAAGAGAAGAGGAAAGGAAAGGAAAGAAAAAGAGAAGGGAAGGGAAGGGAAGAGAAGGAAAAAAAGAAAAGAAAAAAAATCCACTAAATTCTTGTAAACCAAATAAATAATTTGGGGATATAGTGAGTATAAATAGCATTAGCTACTTTTGTTTTGTTTTTTTGCGTTATGCAGGCCTCTCACTGTTGTGGCCTCTCCCGTTGCGGAGCACAGGCTCCGGACGCACAGGCTCAGCGGCCATGGCTCACGGGACTAGCCGCTCCGCGGCATGTGGGATCTTCCCGGACCAGGGCACGAACCTGTGTCCCCTGCATCGGCAGGCGTACTCTCAACCACTACGCCACCAGGGAAGCCCAGCATTAGCTACTTTTTAAAAGAAATCTTTTCAGGGCTTCCCTGGTGGCGCAGTGGTTAAGAATCCGCCTGCCGATGCAGGGGACACGGGTCCGAGCCCTGGTCCTGGAAGATCCCACATGCTGTGGAGCAACTAAGCCCGTGTGCCACAGCTACTGAGCCTGTGCTCTAGAGTCCGCAAGCCACAGCTACTGAGCCCGCATGCCACAACTACTGAAGCCCATGCAGCTAGAGCCCGTGCTCTGCAACAAGCCACTGCAATGAAAAGCCCACGTACCACAGTGAAGATCCAACGCAGCCAAAAATAAATAAATAAATAAATTTATATTTTAAAAACCCCAAATACTTTATTTGAATGTCTAAAAAAATATTTATATTCATTTTATTAAAAAATAGAGAAAGTTTTATATTTCTACTTAAACTGGCCGGAAAAAGTTTTGCTTTTAATAATATCCAATTCTGAGGTGAAAATCTCTCAGAAAAAAACTAACACTGATTCCTTAAAATTAGGAATTCAGATTTTTACAAGGAGAACAGACTAATCAATGTTTTTTTATATGAAAACATGTATTCCCTTTGTAAAAAAAAAAAAAAATGATCTCCAGAGAATTCCTAAAGTCACTGTTTGTCTTTCTACAAGCGGTATATAAATTCCTTCCTGTTGGGTTTGCCATTATGATTAGCATCACTGTTGGCGATATCTGCCGTCATCTGCTTACTTTTTTCTCATGTATTTGGAATGCTTATGAGTAAAAGTCTTCTTTTTAAATATAATTTGTTAAAGAATATTTTGAAAAATCCCAAAATCAAATTTTCATACTTAACACAATTATTGAAAATACTTATTCAAAATATGTTTATTCTAGCTGATGTTTACTATTTATTGAGCATTCACCAGGTTGCATGCAATGCCTTTTCTGTATTTTTTCCCCTTTCCCAAAGAAATGGAAGTCATTTAATTCAAGAATTCTTACCAAAGATGTATGAATTTATGCACACTTACGATCTTCTGAGGATGATCTATAACACCTGTTTTCAACTAAATTGAAGGAAATACCCTGTATAATGCATGTTCTGTCAGAAAAGCAATATGGGAAATGAAAGCTAACATTTCATGAGGCTGCTACGTCACTTCATATTGAAAGGTAGGTCAATCAATCAATCTTTGAAAAAATTACTGGTACTCATTTTATGTGAAATACTTCACTACATGTTTAAAGGGAAATATAATATGGAAACCTACTTCCCAAAGTTTTTGCATTATAATTGGTGGCATCCTAGCATGATAGGAGCCAAAAAGAACAAAAAGAAATGCTTCCCCTGTATACCTGTGGTACTTGTCAGATAGTCTTAGGATATAGGTAGAGGGATGCTTCACAGAGGTAAAAAGACATCAATCTATTAAATGATGAGAGAAAAAAGCTGTAAAATAAGTTTCACAAATTAAGTAAATCTTCACACACCTATAACCTTGAAAATATAACTTCAGGAGTTTTCAGAGCAGAATGTTGCAAACCTTCTAAGAGGATTCATAATGTTAGCTCTGTAGCCTGAGACTTACATTAAAAGGCTTCTGTGAACATTAATCCACTTCCCAATGAGTAGTCTTGACAGATTCAAGAATAAAAATCAAGGATTGGTCAATTGTCATTCTCACTCCTCCCCTGGCAATCCATTTGGCATTGTGCAGACCTATCCAGAGAGCTTAGCATGAAACACTGTGAAGAGTGCTTGAAATTGAAACGTTTGAAATTTCAGAGGACTTAAATGAAGTTGAGTTAGGCTGGCCTCATTTTCCTGGTCAGTAAAGGCTTTTCAGACAGTAAAAACCTACATTTTAGCAGTGTATTCTACATAAATAAAAGAATCTTCACATAAGACATCTATTTTAATTAAAGCTGGAAAACGGAGTGCTTGAAAAACAAAACTATCTCTTTTCTCAGCTTTCTGGTCTGGAGGTACTTTCCTGAATTTAAAATCAGAAATGTTTAAGTGGTAACAGCAACACATTGGCACACTTCTCCATCCTTCTGAAATACCAGAGTCATTTACATTTGATATGCTCTAGTATTTTTAGTGCTCAATCCACCTTCTGAGTAGCCGGAGTGTCTTTCTAAGAATTCTGCCAGAAATCAAAAATGTCACCATTTGTAATCTGTATTATGTTTTAGGCAGCTAACAACTGAGAACTTTGTCTTTGTCTTTACCTGATGATTTGGAGTAGACTCTGTCAGGGGGCCAATGACAAGTCAAGAGAATGAACTGGAACTGGAACTAAGAACTAAGAATCTGGGAAAGGAGAAAACAGGGATGGTGCTCAGTCAGCATCCTTATTAGAGAATATTAGTTAATCCTACTAGCCTAGAAAAGCAAAATCAATGTACGAATCCAAAGGCAAGGAGAGGGTACGAAAAATGCAGATACAGCCGGAGCCCAGATCTCTGAAACAGAAGGGCAGTGAGATGGTTGTGAAGCAAGGCTGACCCAGAAAAGCTACTGCAAGTGTGACTGGAGTGGCCTGCTTACTATTCTTTGCTGTTGAGACATGCAGCAAGTTTCAAAGGGTCAGGCTGCCTCAAAGGTATGAAGTCAGGATATAGAGCTAATAGGCAAGTTGGAAATCTATGAAATTAGATAATGCAGTAAAGGCTTCAACTGTGATATATATATCCTAATGAGAAAAATTCACATTTATTGTAGTGCCTGGTATAGGACTAGATTCCAGAGCATTTTGTCATTGTTAAAATCCTTGCTTGTCAAACTTTCATTATATATTGACCTCATTTTGTTAGTTAAGAGTTAAGTTTTTAACTTAAAAATAAATAGAATTATTTAGTATGCCCTACACTAAAGCTACTTTCCATGATCTTCCATAATATCCATTATCATAGCAGTCATATCTGCTATGACGTGACTGACCACTTGGATATGGTACCTATATTGCCATCTACTGGAAACTATTTCAAATTACATACGGAAACACCAGACCACAGAGAATGCTGCTATAAAAGAGTTCAGTTCTTTATACAGTGACATAATGGTGAAATTTCTGGTAGACAACATGGTAAAAATAAGCACTATGTGATAACTCTGCTTTCAGTTCTTAATGAATACAAACAGCCTGTGTGAATTTCTTCACTCAATGTGCCGGACGTGATTTTGTACAATCAACACCTCATCACCTGATGGTTCTAAATGTTCTGTTTTTGACACACAGGGATGCTTCAAAGTTTTATTAATAAAGTAAAAGACTGGACTTCCCTGGTGGCGCAGTGGTTAAGAATCCGCCTGCCAATCCGCCAGCAGGTTCAATCCCTGGTCCAGAAGATCCCACATGCCGTGCAGCAGCTAAGGCCATGTGCCACAACTACTGAGCCTGCGCTCTAGAGCCCGTGAGCCACAACTACTGACCCCGCGTGCTACAACTACTGAAGCCTGTACACCTAGAGCCCGTGCTCCACAACAAGAGAAGCCACTGCACTGAGAAGCCCGCGCACTGCAATGAAGAGTAGCCCCTGCTCGCCGCAACTAGAGAAAGCCTGTGCGCAGCAACGAAGACCCAACGCAGCCAAAAAATAAATAATAAATACATTTTTTTTAAAAAGTAAAAGACAGGGGCTTCCCTGGTGGCTCAGTGGTTGAGAGTCCGCCTGCCGATGCAGGAGACACGGGTTTGTGCCCTGGTCCGGGACGATCCCACGTGCCGCAGAGCGGTTAGGCCCGTGAGCCATGGCCACTGAGCCTGCGCGTCCGGAGCCTGTGCTCCGCAACGGGAGAGGCCACAACAGTGAGAGGCCCACGTACCGCAAAAAAAAAGAAAAAAGAATAAAAGACAAGTTTGAATTTATTCCATAAGGAAAATTATGAATACTTCTTAAATTCATGTTTTATTCTAAACACTGGTATTCTGATGTTGTGTCTTCTCATAATGTTTATACTCAAAGGAAATAGAAAGGAAATGCCTTTCCTTTGTATAATTTAAGGTAAAAAACAGTATAATTTAAAAGTAAATTTAAAAAGTATAATTTAAGGTAAATAGCATAAAACTATTTGAAAAACATGTAATATTATGCATTAAAATGTAGAGTTTAAAATTCATTTTGTTGTATTTTAATAAATTGGGCCCAGAAAGACATAGTGATTAAAATCACAACTATGTTATGGTAACATTTAGGATGAGAATACCATGCCTGGAAAAGAATATGATTTAATTTAATCTTAACCACACAGTGACTTTTTACAGGGTTCAATTTTCATTAAATTTTTTAAATAAGATCTTGAGGATCTGGAAACTATTTAAGCAAATCAAATTAAATATTTTTTGGTACCAATAATGTATGATATACAATTTTCTACAAAAGAAGTATGATTTCTTGTTATTATAAAAATACGCTGATTCCACATAAAATGTATCAAAATTTACTCCAGTATTATATTAGACTTTGTTTTATATAATAAAGTACCATCATCAGAAAACTTAATATATTGGAAATTTTGCATTCTTCATGGAAATTGTTAAGAAAGCAAATTGCTCAATATCTACCATCTATCCATAACTGTAAATATTACAGAAGTGATTTGTACTCACAACAATGCTACATATGTCTCTGTCTTCTGATCTTTGGATTATGCTTCTTAAAATATATTGCATCAGTCTTGAAGAATTATATGATGGCAAAGATCCTTGAAAGTGTATCTGACTCCTCTTGTTGGCTTCAGCTGGAAATGCATGAAAGTAATACTAGATGGGCGAGTCTTATTATTCAACAACTACACAGTAGCAGAAACCACAAATTCCCTTCCAAATAAGTTCATTCTTAAATTCAAAGACCTTTTCTATCAAAACAGTCCTTAATATATGTGACTGGGTTCATGCTGCTGTAGGTTAAATTTATTTCCTCCATGGAAATAGAGAATGACATGACATTGTATATTTAGGATATTATCAGTGAGTTCCCCGGAATGACATCTAGTCACAAGAACCCTTGCTAAAAATCTCTTTCATGTCAAAATTAATGTTCAAATATTAATTATATGATTATAATTATATGCTAGTCTCAGCTTTCTCTTTTAAGGAATAAATCTGGTTACTTAGTCGCATAGATCCCATCTTGCATTACAAGATTGTTGTTTTGAAGCTTAAGGGAAGAGTTTCAGTATCCTGTTTTAGCTTCAACATTCTGAGGAACAAATTATGAGTTCTTCACCTGGATTTCAGTTATTGATTTTCCCTGGTATTTTGGATTCAATTCTTTCTACAGTGAGACAACAATAGACTCATTTCCCTACGATATTTACCCTTGGCCATACATTGGTTAGTATTACAGAGAAATGCTAAAGAGTATAATATCCAGCCAAAAAGTTCAACTTGGAGAGAAAAAGGCTGGAATTCTAAAGACTCCATTTGCCTTCCCTAAAGTCATGAAGAAAGGCAATGACAGCATCTTATAAATATTTCCCACTGCCATAGAACACTGATCCTGCATAGAGGTCTGGGTTTATAACTGAAATACCTCTATTTTAGGATAGAGCATCAAGCTTAATGACATAGTTCAACTGAACTGAATCATCATCAGATTTGTGACATCTAGAGATGTCCAATCAAATCTGTCACTGGTCCTTGTGCCTGCACCATTTTTTTGTAGTCTTCTTGATTTCCTATTTAATTATTTCAGTCTAAGAAAAAACAATTTACCTTCCCTAACCAAATCAGCCCGGCCTGGCATTTAGAAACTCATTCCAAATGATCTCTTTAAAGAGACCAATGTCATACAGTTTGTAACAAGTTCTTTTTTGTTTCATTCTCTCCCCTTCTATTCCCTTTGGTTTCACTGTATCTACTCCAAAATGCAACAGTGCTTAGAAAAAATACATCTGGATTATATAGCAGGTCATCCAATTAGAATAATAGATAGCTCACTCACTAAAACATTTACCCAACTGAAGGATGCATCTAATCAGCAGGTCTTTCAATAACATATGCTGCACTGTGCTAGGGGTTACAAGTTCACAGATAAAACGTGTTCTATTAAAAGAAGTATATATTTTGGAGGACAGTTTTGCCTGAAACATATATATGTATTTGGTCCTTTGAATTAATATCGTCTTAAAATACAAAATGCCTTATTTTGTGTCTAGCATATTTTAATCAGCATTATGTTTATACACTCCATCTGTGTTGTATGTGTAGCTGAGGTTTGCTGAGGTTTGCTGATTTTCAGTGCAATAGATGGTTTCATGAAATAATTATATCACAATCATTTATCCATTTCATTCTTGATAGCCATTTATGCTACTTAACAGGTTTTAGCAATTTTAAATAACACTGCTATGAATATTTTGTGACAAGTCTTGTTGCACATGTGTACCCACATATGTTGGAAGCAGAGAGGAATTTTAAAATCCTGGAAAATATCTACCTTTAAAGTTAACAGATTATATCAAATGGTTTTCCAAAGTGTTTATACAAAAATTTACTTCCATCAGCAGTGTATGAGAGATACTGTTGCTTTATTTTAAATTTTTTTTTCCATATTAAAGTTTCTTATTTTTTTGGTGAGGTATAGTTGTTTTACAATGTTGTGTTAGTTTCTACTGTACAGCAAAGTGAAGTCGAGTTCCCTGTGCTATACAGCAGGTTCTTATTAGTTATCTATTTTATACATATTAGGGTATATATGTCAATCTCAATCTCCCAGTTCATCCCACCACCCCCTGCTTTCCCCCCTTGGTGTCCATACATTTGTTCTCTACATCTGTTTCTCTATTTCTGCCTTGCAAACCAGTTCATCTGTACCACTTTTCTAGATTCTACATATATGCGTTAATATACGATATTTGCTTTTCTCTTTCTGACTTCATTCTGTATGAAAGTCTCTAGGTCCATCCACGTCTCTACAAATCACCCAATTTTGTTCCTTTTTATGGCTGAGTAATATTCCATTGTATATATATGTACCACATCTTCTTTATCCGTCTGTCAATGGGCATTTATGTTGCTTCCATGACCTGGCTATTGTAAATAGTGCTGCAATGAACATTGGGGTGCATACTGTTGCTTTAAATTCTTGTAAAAACTTGGTATTGCCAATCTTTATAGCCCTTCAGGAGGGTGTTTAGTGGTATGCTGTAGTAGTTTTGATTTGCATTCTCCAATGATTAATGAGATTGCACACTTCTTGTATCTTCATTGGCCATTTTGATATATCGTGTTTTGTGAAGTGCCTGTTCAAGTCTCTTGCCCATTTTCTTTTGGATTCTGTGTTTCTCTATATTCTGGATATGAGTCTTTTCTAGATTACATGGATTGCAAATGTTTTCATTAATTTTCCTTTCTCTCTTTATGGTAACTTCCGATACATAATTTTAACTTAGTCCAATTTCTCAATCATTTTTATTATTAATGCTTTTAGGAGTCCTGTTTAAAAATATTTCTCTACCCAAGATCATAAAAGTGCTCTTTTATGTTTTCCAAAATCTTTCATGTTTGTGCCTCCCAAAGTCTGTAGTGCACCAGCAATTGAAGAAAGGTCAAGTTATTTTTTTTCCCCATAGGGATATCCACTTGGCATTGTCCCATTTTTTTGAAATGAAAATCTTTCCCAACCAGTCTACAGCACCACCCTTGTACCATATAAAATTGTATATATTCATGAGGCTGCTCTGATATATCTGTTCTGTTTCATTGATTTATTTATCTTAGCCAGTACTTTCGTAATTATTCTTGCTTTATAATTAAGCATATATATCTGATAAGAGAATACCCTTTGCATTTCCAAACCAGTATCAGTTTACCAATGTTCACATAATAATAACCTGCTGGCATTTTTACTGGGATTACATTGAATATACAAATCAATTTGAGGGAATGTAAAAACATCTTTAAATTATTAAATCTCTTCATTCTTGGACATGGTATACTTAACAATATTTCTAGTGCTGTGAGAACTTTTCACAGGATTTATTGCAATGTATTTAAAATACTTTGATGCTATTGCAAAGGCTATATATACATGCATATAATTTTACTTCTACTTTTTGACACAGTATCCAACAACCTTGTCAAATTTGCACATTAATTATAATAATGAATATGTGTATTCTCCTTTTCCATTCTTTTACCTTTTAAAAAATTGCCTTATTGCACTGGCTATGATTTCAGGTATAATGCATAATAGAAGTGTTAAGAGAGGATATCTTTGTTTTAGCCTTAATCTTGGAGAGAAAGTATTCAGTAGTTCACTATCAAATACAAAGTTTCCTTGATGTTTTCTGTGCCTACCCATGATCAAGTTAAGGAAGTTTCTTCTAGTCCTAATTTTTTTTTTAAATCATATATAGATGTTTAATTTTACCAAATATTTTCTGTACTAATTTAGTAGATTATATATTTGTCCTTTATTTTGTTAATATGAAAAATTAAATTGGTTATTAAAGGTTAAGCCCACCTTTCCTTCCTGGAATAAACCTAATTTGATCATGATATGTCATCCTTTTTATATAATACTGAATTGGATATGCTTTTATTTTGCTTATAATTTTTGAATCTATGTTTAAAGTAAATTTTACCTTCCTTGTAATGTCATTGTTGGGTTTAGTTTCAAAGAGTATCCTTACCTCATAAAAAGATATGAAAAGATCTCTATGTCATGGGAGTGTTATTTCTTTCTTAACCATTTGGTAGAACTGGTGAAACCAAGAAGGACTGTAGTTTTATTTGTTGAAAAAATTATATATTCAATCACTTTAAAATTATAAGATTAGGTAGATTTACCATTTTTCTTTTTTTGCTGTGTCTGGTTTATATGCATTGTTTTCTTGCCTAATATCTCTCTCTTCTTTGTTTCTATTTTCGTATATGATAGACAACTCGACTATTGCCCTTAGGTTTTTAACTTTCTCTTCTGCGCAACCCATCATTTTGCGTCTCTGGGCTTTCTTCTAGCTATATTCTCCTGACACTTCTTCCAATTCATTAACCCTTCTTCAACTGTAATGAACATGAAATTACATTAATCTATTTAGAATGTAATTTTAATTGTTTTATTTTTTAGTTCAATACCTTCAATTTGTTTTCTAATGTATTTTCTGTATGTATGTATATAACTCACACACCTAATTCTTATACATGCTCTGCTAAAGATCTAATTTTGTGCTTTATTTCCTTAAATATATTAAGAATAGTGATTGCATAGTTTGTGTCTGACAACTCCATTAAATGGTTTCCCTGTGGATCCTTTTTTATAGTCTGTTTTCTTCTTCTCCTCCTCCTTCTCCTCTTCCTCCCCTTTCCCCACCCATTCCTCCCCTTTCCCCACCCCTTCCTCCTACCTCTTCCTCCCCTACCTCTTCCTCCTCTGCTTCTTCTTCTTCTTCTGTCCTTTCTTTCTTCCTTCCTTTCTTTATGGCTGCATTGGGTCTTCATTGCTGTGTGCGGGCTTTCTCTAGTTGCAGCGAGCGGGGGCTACTCTTTGGTGTGGTGCGCGGGCTTCTCATTGTGGTGGCTTCTCTTGTTTCAGAGCAAGGGCTCTAGGTGCGCGGACTTCAGTAGTTGTGGCTCGTGGACTCTAGAGTGGAGGTTCAGCAGTCGTGGGGCACAGGCTTAGCTGCTCTGCGGCATGTGGGATCTTCCTGGACCAGGGCTCGAACCCGTGTCCCCTGCATTGGCAGGCAGATTCTTAACCACTGCACCACCAGGGAAGTCCCTTTCCTCTTCTTCT